CCGCATTAATTCACCCGTGAATTTTGTAAACATAGAAAACGCAAATCCCTGAGTGTAATTGGGCCCGTTAAACGCATGTAAATGAAATTCAAACTTGGGCGTCAGTACGTGTACACAAAACATGTGAATTCAATGCTAATTTCATTAGAAGTACTCCTAGCACCTCGAAAACTTTTCTCCTCGCGTGTATGCATCATTGACGCTGAGTTAAATCTACAAAGGATTGAACAAGTCGTTATCACGCGAATTATATTATAATATCACCAGAAATTCATTCATTTATTTTTGGGGATGCCGACGAAAATCTGAATTACGGATAAAAATTATATTTTCAGCATTTATCAATTTTCTGACGATTTTTAGAGAATTGTGACGTGATTTTTGTATTTTCCGTCGATTTACCCACGAAATTCGCAATTTTTAATGGTAAATTTCGGGGAAGGCGTTTTATCAGAATAAAAATTCGGGGGAGGGCACATAATTTCTGAAGATTCATCTATTTAAATCCCATCGGCCTGATTTACGCGAATCGTTTTGGCTCGGCGCCTTCTCGAAGCTAACTCGATAATCCCGCGTCTGATCGAGAGGACTTCGAATATATATTTCCAATTCAATTTTACCATTTCCCCCAGTCCCCTCCTTCATACATCCCCGAATAATATTCAAGAGATAAAATATGAAACTTATGATATTCCGATTCGATTAAAAAAATTCATCACGTAATTATCCAAATCCCAAAAGAATTGAGTCGGTTTGAAAAAATTAAATAAAACCGACTCTCGATATTTCGTCCTCCGGATCACTTTGAGAAATTCTTGTAACACGTTATTATTTAAAACCAGAAAAGAGTTTATTGAATTTTCGGAAAGTTGAGAGGACATCGGAAGAGAAGCGTTGACGGGTTGTAAGTGCCTTTGCGCCTCGGCTTCTACCGTAAACCGTTTTCCTCACCGAAGATGACATTCAAATTGGGTTATGCAAAATTGATTTTACATGGAATAAGTCTTGCTCGTTGCTGTCTACGGGTATCGATTGATAGGGGATGCAAAAATATCGATGGAGGTGTGATACAAGTTTCCAGAGTTGAAAATACGCGGAAAAAAAACTTGTATAAAAATGATATTTCATAATATCTCCCGATTTCACATTTTTCCGTTTTATTCTTCTTCAATAAAAAGGAAAACTCATAAAATAAAATTTATAAATTTATAAATCATTAAATTGAAAAATAGTAACTCAACACCTCTCTTGAATTATCGATTTATCTCGACAGATATACATTTCCGAGGAAAATATTAATAGACTTTTTTATAGCGAATAAAATTTTCTCAAAGCAAGATCTCTTGTGATTTCCTCCTCAATTCAATAGTTTTTAAATAAATTGATATTTCATGAAAGTGGAAAATTGGATGTGAGTTTTTACAAGAAATAATTGCGGGAATATTAAAAATATAATTGCAGTGTGATAAGCGAGTAAAAATATCGCGCCAATAAGAAAAAATATTGAGGTTAATTAACGTTTACTCTCCAAGCCTCATCTCAATTGAATTATATTACAGCACCCAGGAGAATAATAGCGTTACAACGACCTTGTTTTCACCCGGTAGAACCGTGTAATTAGGATGAGAGAGATGGGTTGAGAGGGTAGTTTAAGGGTGAAAGAGAGAGGTGCATAGTAATTTGTTGAATCAACGAAAAATTTGCCTCGGCCCCACAACGTCGTCCCTGTGGAGTTCACCAGAATAACACGATACGGTGCCAGAACCCCCTGTTACGATACTGCATAAATCACGAATTGGTTTTAACGAACAAATACCGATCTAGGACAATATCACAGAGGTGTTCGATCCCATTCCCCCTAAATAATCATTATTAATGGCATTAACTCTTTCACTCTGCCACTTTGACTGACCATTCGTTGACTTAACTACTTCGCAAAGCCTTCCCTTTCCAAATACTCTTTGTTATTTTAAAAAATCCCATTGAAATCAATTAAAATTCATTTTCTCATGAAAATGTATAATTCAATTATTGCAATAATATATTTAAAGAGTCATTATAATGTTATTTAAAAAATAGATATTAATGAAGGAAAAAAAAATTTTGACTGTTGAAGGAAAAGTTTGGGAGTGAAATAGGGATTCCTTGTGGGAGGTACTGCAATCTCACATTAGATGAACTAATAGTTCCAAAAGTCGAGAAGCACTTGTCTGGGATGTTTGAAACGAGTGATGCGGTTTCAACTCTGTTTTATGGGAAAATACAGTCTCGTTCGATAAATGCAACGAGAGAGGCTTTTCCTCTTTGATCATTCGTTACACGACGCATCTTGTTTGCGTATGGGAAAATTTATTCGCGATTTCATAGTGTCCCCTGCCCTGAATTTTCCTTTGAGAATTTCCCCGTGATAACTCGGTGCACGTCAAAATTTCGCATTCAAAATGTCTTCAACCCATGAATTATTCAAAATCACCTCATGAATCATTAATTAACCATTCATTTTTGATCGCTGATGTTTCAATGTCTGTTTCCAAATTTTCACGGAAAACAATGCCAGCGGATGTTTTCTTCCTTGCGGATATGAAACATATTTTTTTTTTTTAAAAAGGGCACTTCATCACTCATCCGTTATGTCGAATTGTGTTCACAAATCATGGAGCCGTGTGGTGTGCGCGGTTTTTGGCCGAATCATATCGAGGTTACGTCACAGCAAAGTAACAAATCGACCAGCTGGAAAATCAAATCACATTTATTGATCTAGAGATGCAGAAAAATAGAGGGAAAATTTTTGTTTGCATGAGTGATAGACGCGTATTTATCTTTCACATATTCACGTAAACAAGTATTTTCGCTGGTGTAAGATCTTTCATATTATTCCGATGGCAATTTGCGCAGTGGAAAAATCTCTCCAACTCGATTAATTTTATCTCGAATGGAGGAGATCGAGGAAAAGTCTCGGGGGAGTATTTTATCCCCAACCTTTGATGAGGAGGCTATGGGAAAATACCGTTACTCATACAAATACAGAAACTCATGAACCCTCGCTTCTCTGACTTGATTCAACAGAGCGCTATTCAATTTTCCATATTTATTCGGCCATCTTTCATCCGATTCCGAGCGACGCCAATTTGTTTTACGTGCAATAATGTACCAATGCTGAAGAATTATTTTTCCCATATTTTTCGTTTCATTTGCAGAATAAACAATCAGATGTCAATGAGCAAATCCACGTGTTCACATATTAGACATTTTTTCATAATTCATAATTAATACATTTTGTTTACAAAAGAGTAAATTCTTAAATTGCAATGTTGAATAATTTTCAGAGCGATTTTAATCTGAAAAAAATTTTCTGGAAAATATCACGGAAAATCAACAAATAAACAACTTATGGAATGAAATTTCTGTCTGGGTTTTCATCAGCGGAGTACAGATAAATTCTATTGGTTTTATTCCACTGTCAATATCCCTTCGATTACCCACGCGTTATCAACTAAAACCCACGAGTCCGGTGCGTCAATACATACACTCACCACCAGCAAAGTCCACAAAATATTCAGAATCCCATCGTAAACAGTAAATAAACCGCGAACCTGATTTAGACCGGATTCATATGTACCCATAATTGATTATCATATTACGTATTCAAATAATTTATGATAATTTTCCGTAATAAAATATTTTTCCCAGCACCGGCTGACGCAGTTGGACAAATTTCCAAGGGATTGGAACCAACAGCAATTTCCACCTTTGAACCCTTCCATTTGGAATAACAATGACAGTTTCAGGTTGTAAATTCGGGTTTTCAAATTTCTCATTGGGCTTTCGAAACACGAAATCCAGGGTCCACTGCAATCACGGAATTATCGGGGTATTCAAGCATTCGGAAAATACAAATTGCGTATTATTGAGAGCTGCACGATGGAACACCGAGAAGAAAAATATTTCAACGAATTCTAAACATGATCGATCACATGATTACGTTATTCACTCCACACAATTAATCATCGAAAAGGTTCCGCTTCTATTTCCAGAGTGTAATCAATAATTTTTGGCAATTCAATTTTCTGACAGCCAAATTATTTATCAGGAGAAAAAATTAATTTTGTCGAAGGCAGATAATTCATTCTAAGATAACGAATAATTAATTTGGCTTGGACTGAATATTCTAGTATTGTCCCATATAAAATAGAGCTCGTGAAATAATTAGGGGAATAATTACTCAGGTAGATGACGGTAGTTTCATGAGTTTCTCAGGTGCATGATGTACTGGTTGAAGTCATCTGTATGATCTTGCAATAGACTGAGAAAGAAAGACCAGAGAGAAAGCAATAAGCGAGAGTTTGTGCGAGGCCTTCAACAGTCGTACAAAATAACGCCCATTCCTGGGTATATTTATTCAGTGATGTCTCACGTGACTCCGAGTACATACAGGGTACAGAGCTTTAATAAACCAACCCCCTTACGTTTTTACGTGTCGTAAATCTCACGCCCCAGAAGTAGGTGCATCGTTTCATTTTCGTGAAACGAGAAAACACGAGTTCCCTCTCAAGACGGGGGTAAAATCCATTGAGTTTTTCTTCATTGCATCACGGTTTTTCCATTTTTATTGAAAAATCTTCCACCACCTGTCGGTGGTAAAAGAGAAATCCCAGGTGATTTATCTCGTATTTACACGGATGCCCCAACGAATAAAATACTCGTACAACTGTAAAAGTGAGGTACATGTTTAATAGACTTCTTCATCATCGAATTGATCAACTAATTCCAACGCTCGATAAATTTCATAGACACTCCAATCAATTTTACTCGACGTCTTTTCCAGGAAAATAGTAATTGACGCAGGTGCAGCCGAGTATGACGAATCGTCAGGCTTTGTGCCTCCCTCCGAAATTTATCGCTAGTCTGATCGATCGAGAATTGTTAACATGACACCACTGATGGATCGATTAGAAAATCATCTATGATTGTTGTTTTTAATTATTTTTTTTTTCTCTCAGGGTACAATAATCCGACGGTGGAGGTCGAGCCGAGGGAGAAGGTTGTCGTGAAGGTGGGAAAACCCCTCAGGGTGATGTGCAGAATTGGGGTGCCTCTTGCTGGATGCAGGGTCGAAATACCCGGACTGGCACCCATTATTCTCAAACCCAATCAGCCATCGGACGATGGTATCAGCTACGATGGGGCTGGGCTTGAGACTGGGCAGTGTGGGGTTACAATTGCTAATGTCAAGGATAGTTATCATGGAGATTTCAAGTGCGCACTCCAACCCGCTGACAGCAGGAGTGAGACCATTGGATCACTCAAAATCATCGTTGCAAGTGCGTATATCCAAAATAAAATTTCTATTTTTCCCCTATCACTTCATTAATTCATTTTTTCAGGAATCTAATAATTTAATAAAAACTCGACAAGTCAACTTGTTACACTTTACCCTTCGTCTCGTGAATTAATTCACTTATCTCATCTCGAAAGTGATCTCATTAATAATTCACGAATAAGTCTATTTATGGTTCACTAATACATCCTCAAACTGAACAAGAAGCCCCAGAAACTTGTATTATTTTAATGAATGCGTGAATGTTTGAATGAACTTTGCAGAGCCACCACCAAACAGACCTGAACTCCTTCTGAGTCAGGCACCAGGGGAGAGATACAAGAAGGGAGACAGAATTGAAATGAGCTGCAGTGCCCTAGCTGGACGACCCAGTGCAAACGTCAGCCTCTTCCTCGGTAAATTTCAGTCGCAGTTGTTACAAAACAAAACTCTCAACCCATCGGGTATCTAATTCCATTTGATTTTTTATTTCATCAATCAGACAATGAGACACTCCCACGAGACAATTCACGTTTTGCTTACAATACAAATGAGGACTCAATGGCCACAGTAAATGCTTCTCGTATACTCGATTGGAGTGATAATGGAAAATATATTCGTTGTGTGGCTGAACATATTGCGTTGGACACACCCATGGAGGCTCACAAACAGCTGCAAGTTTACTGTGAGTACCAAATAACAAAATACATTAACTGAAATAAAATGAATTTTTTTCTTCAGACTGAATAAATATTTATTTGATCCAACAATAATTTTTTATGATGGTTAATTTAATATTGATGTATCCAGTACTCGATGTAGAGTAAATGGTGCAGAATTGAGATAACAAATGATCAGAATTGAAATTATCAGGATATTCATGGATTTTCAGTTCCACCCCAGGAGCAACCGACAATCGAACGCTTCGGTTACGTTATCGGACGTGCAGGAATCATAAATGCAACAGTTTATGCGAATCCGAAGCCAAACTTCGTTTGGAAAGTAGGTGATGAGGAAATAACCGAGGGGAGAACTGATCAAAGCCAACGTCTGCAGACCACAACAGCGAGGGAAACGGTAAATGCATACCATCAACTAATTCGCGATTCCCGAAGGAAATTACGTATTCCTGGGTGAAATTTAATAGAGAAATTTATCCCGTACACCATTCGGTAACAGTTGGAGGAGGGAAACAAACGGAAAATGCAATAATGCTCTAGCTCTCAAGTGCATCATGGTTGGACTCGACTCCTCAATTTGGGAGGACTCTGTGTAATTCGAGTTTTGTTGGACGTCCTTTGACTCCGCGACTCCCTCGTGCATTCTGCACAATTTCGTTTCAATTCCCTACATTTCGAGATTCACAATATTAAAGAACTTTCTTCTTACTTATAAATTCGAAATACCAATTTTTTTTTTCATTTTAAAACCTTTCCGAGTAATTTACACATATTATGTCTATATTGAAGAGAATGACTGTTCGGTTTTATCGAATTGGGAGTTGAAAAAAAAATGGTTGGCAATATTATTAAGGGGGATGTTAGGAATTTGGGATTCTGAGGTGAATTAATGAATTTATTTGGATTTTTTAATGTGTGAACAGAGACCAGGACAGTGGTACGTGGAATTAAAAATCGACAGTGTTCAAAAAATCGACACTGAAAAATTCTACGTTCTGGAGGCACGAAATCCCGAGGGCACAACTAAATATCACTTCCGACTCTCAACATCGCCTGTACCTGAAGGTAATTTCTCCGCCCCTTTTCCACCCTAATTCATTAAGATTCTGTGTGAAATGCTTTGTAAAATTTACATGGGAACACGTACACTTCCGAATATTTTTCATTCACAAACAACCATCAACACGCTATATCAGCATTAACTCACAACTCACGTGACGAATTTTCGTTTTTCGTAAAATTGTCTAACGGCTAAAATCCTTCACCGCATGCTCTCACGCAGGAGCGCTAGTTCACCTTTATGGTAAGCTCTCCGACATTTCGCACGCACTAGGTAAATGTTCCATTTTAATAATCAGTAGTTAAAAATTGGAAAATCTATTCAATTTCGTGAGCGTAGTGGTAAAGTGTTATTAATTATCTCCGAGAGTATCAATTTAATACGAAAACAATACCCACACCTGTTCTCAATTTCTATTTGTGGGAATTTCGCGTGAGCAATTAGATTCCAAAATAAAGACAAAAATCAATTTCTCTGGTAAGCGAATTTCCAGCGAAAAAAGTCTTTGGATATTTCAGTGGACAATCCATACCTCTCGAGATAAATCACTTTATCACTTCATTACTGATTTACTGTGCGGAGAACCGAGTGATTAGTGAAACTATTCCTGTCAAGTTCCACCTCGTGGTTCTCAGCACAGATATGAGTATCAGTGCACAAGCCATCATATCCATGATAACTGGAATTCCAGTATTTGTAATTCCACATTCCCTTTTCAATCCCTGAATTATATCAGAGGGAAATTATTCCAAAATCCTCCAGCATTACTGTGCACTCATACCCATAATCGGATACTGTGGACAGTTGAATTCCTGAAAAGATGAGAGGGCCAAATAGACGATTAACTCATTAAAAAGTTATTCGTCATTCATAGGACTAGATGAAAATTTTCATTCATTTCAATATAAAAAGTTGATTCGCTTGAATTATTCGGATGGAAAAGTTTCAATGGATTCAGTAAATTCGCTTGTGTGACAGATATTTTTCATATTGACATTCATGAGGATTTTGATTTTCATTGAGAAAAGAGAAGTGGAAAAATTGCATTGATTTTTTTTTTCATTCATTATAAGTAGATTATCTCGATACCCAGTGCCATTCAGGGCTGAATTTTTACTGAAAATGAAAAAACAATTTTATGCTTGCTTTACTTATTTTTTTTTTCATGCAGCGTTTTACCACTTCACTGCAAATATTTTCATTTAATCGAACAACCATTTGATGTTCATCCTAATATTTTCTCAGACATCTGACGTATCATTATTTCCCCCAGGTTTTGATCTCGACGCGGGCTTCATAATTGGAATCGTCGTTGGAATTTTGGTGCTCCTCCTTCTCATTTCCCTCATTATTTTCGCCCGCGCGACTGGTCGTTGGTGCTTCGCAGGTGAGTCTCATCATCCCAACAATAATAATTAAAACATTTTAATTTAATTTAAAACCGAAAAAAAAATCCCTTCCAATTATCCCCCGACAGTTACTCCAGGGCGTATCCCCGAGCACTGTTTCCCTCCCGGAAAAAAAAGTATACGTTTGGAAAAGTCAGTCGAGCCAATTCCTACCAAAAAAAAAGCAAAACCCTCACGTTAAATCCCCGCAGTAACGGAAAACCCCAAATATTTTCCCAAAAAATTCGTGCCCATTACAAAAACAGAGAAAAAAAACTTTAGCGTGTCATCATTATTTTGGTAAGTCTTCTGTGAACAAAAAAAAAAATACTGTCTTGTATGTTGTGCGGCTACAACGAAAATAGGACAGCATGCAAGTCGGGCCAAGTAAAGATTACGGAGACACGACAACTTAAATCATGCGTATCCGTACTCTAGGCATGAAACTGTCCAGGGGTAAGTCAACCTCGACAGACGAAAATAAATACCCCATTGCGTCACTTCATCACAAAATTCGTCATTCATTCACCTGAAATTCATAGTCGATAAAAAATCATCCGTTAGAATAATATCCATGCTCATACAGCAACAAATAATCCCTCCACGAATATTATTTCACATATTAAATATTAAAAATTCATAAACAAATGAAAAATGAATGAAATTATTTACATGGCATAATTTTTTTATTCATTTCTTCTCGTACGTAATATTATAGCTATAGTATTTATTGTTCATCGTCTCGAGTGTCTTAAAATATTCTTTATTATTTCGACGCATTCACAATCTCCCTAGTCTCCACAACCGAGAATTTTAATATTTTTCATAAGCGTTTTCCTCCCTTGCATGGAACGACCCGTAGTGTACACACTCCAGTGCTCGCTCTCCACAAAGAAACGAAACTTTTGATTCACATTTATCGCATGGAACCCCTTTGAGTGAATGGAAGCATTGTTGCATGCATCGAGCGCAGTACTTGCTTTTTCCTAGATATTTCATAAAAGAAGAGAGACCGTATGAGGAAGAATAGACCAAGAGTCCACCACAGGGTTATTGTCTCACCATAAATGAATAATTGTGACAAGCAACCCTTTACGATCGGCGAAGGCAAGTGTGGTTGAATTCTTAGTGCATTATTAAATTCATCGGTAACACCGCAATAATCTACTCATCGTACTCTTTCATTGAATCATCCAGGAAAATGTCTTTCGAGTTCTTTCGACGAAACAACTGCTTCCGATAAAAAAAAATTCATTCGCACTACGAAATATTCTGTTGTCAATAAAAAAAAATTGTCTGGGAATCCCAAGATTTTTTTTTATGACAAGAGATAATTTTCTGGTATGAAATATATTTTTTTCGTTAGCAGTAGTTTTTCTCTTCCCAGAGAAAAGCATTTTCAGGGATTTATTGCAGCTCGAGCATGCAAATACTCTCCCATCGCTTACCAATATCGATGTTCATCAGTGTTGAGTACTTTATAATATCCGTAAGCTAGAGAAAAATAGTACAAACAAAAAACACATGAAAAACCCACAATAATCATAATTCCATCCATTTCAACCGATCCATACTCAAACAGATATTACGCATGCATTCCACAGCTGTATCACTCTTAGAACTTGAATAACACATTAGCCATGAAACTGTGTAAGGAAAAACTATGACCTCATAAAATTCACATGAAAAAAAAATGTCTTGACACACGCATTTGCCTTGACCGATGGTGGCGTTGCTTGTTGCAGCGAGACGTCGCGGTGACGAGGAGGCAGCAGGTGGAGCGGGTGCAGGAAGTGAAGCCCACATAACACCAGGTGACGAAGATGATGACCAGGATCCACACATTATCGACGAGAAAATTCCCCACGGTGGCCAGGAGAATCCAATCCACACCAGCACCGAATACGTCAATGGACGCAATGACATCAAAGATGTACAGAGGAAGGACGAGAAGACAGACACACCAGTGTAAATCCTTTAAAGAAAAATTCAACAAAAACAAAAAAAAAACACTATAAATTGAAAGAGTTTCCCAGCCCCTCACTGTCATCGCACTCGCCACTGAACAATTTTTATTATCGTCGGAGTGCGCTGAAGAACATTACATTTTTTTCTCATTGAGACGACTCCGAGACTAGAGAAATATGATAGGTTTAATTGTGTCATTGTGCACTAGCTGATCCTGTGATGAAGGATTGGCGGTGCATTATGGCAAGTAGAATAGTGGAGGAATGAACACCGGGAGGATGATTATCGAGAAGTAGATAGATACTCGATGTGGTCAGACATGTTAATCAGGAGTAATTGCAGTTTGAAGAGTTGAGGTAATCAAATTATTTTTTTTTTAATTATTGGAATCGAGAGAGGCAGCTGTTCTTACTTGTACATGTGTTCGAGTATTTTCTCATTCGTTATTTTTTTTTTTCATCCCCTGCCCTGTTTGTGGCAACTCCGAGCCTCCGTGTGATCGAACATTCCTTCCATTCGTTCTGTCCAGCACCTTTTTATTAGTTTTTTTTTTCTGTTTACGTTCTTTCCGATGTAGGATTAAATTTTGTGTGGATTAAATCTCACCAGTTTGAATCTCTTGAATTTATTTCGTATTTATTGGATATTTGGTTAGTATGAATTTACGAAATTAATCATTCGTTCCGGGAATCTCAGATTATCATGGATTTTTTTAGACTAGTGGCACCATTTATTATTTTAACGTGTGGTTAAATAGTTTAATTATTTATTTTTCATGATGAGAAAAGTAATGCTTTCGTAGTTTCATTTGTAATACGTTTTCTACCGAATTTTTGATAGATGAATCACTTTACTGGTAATGATATCAGGTTTCAATTATTGAAAAAATTTTGTATGTCTTTGTAATGTACTTGAGGATACTTGTCGACAAAAATACAATACATTCCATAACGTTAAGAAGTAGCGTTGAATTTTTCTTTTTTTAATACTCACGTACTCCCTCTTAGTAGTTATTTCCAGAATTTTATTGCGATTGCTCTGTTATATTCATTATAATACGCACGCAATCGTTAAAAATACGGAAGTCATAATTTTTTAAAGCAAAGCAGAAAAAGCATAACGTGTTCATTATTCTAATGAACATAATCGATAATGAATCATTATTACCACTGAAACGCTAAAGACTCAATTGTTACAAATTTCTCACAGGCTTTTGCAGACATGAATTTTCGATAATAATTCGTTACGAATTTATCATGAATACGAGATTTTCACTTTATTACTTCGACAATAATCATCATTTGTACTTTTGTAATCGTATTTTTAATTGTCTTCTATTTGAAGTAGAATGAGGAAAAAAATTTCAGACCCGCGAAATTTGCAGAAAGGTATTAATTTATCGACAGGTGATTCATGAAAATCGAAAATTTAAACGGAGGGAATAGAACACTTAGATCTCGGATATGAGCTCCTCCTTTCCTTATTCATCCCATAATTAACAATTGCTTAATTCGTCCTGTCAAATTTCCCATTAACTGCGTGTTGTATATATTAAATATATATAAATAAATATATTATAAATACTGTGGTACGATGAATAAAAACGAAAAGAAAAAACTGAGTAAAAAAATTAAATAATTAAATAGTGAATGAATTATGATAATTATAAATGTGTCGAAGGCACTTGGCTTGCAATCTATTACTGGCATTCATACCTTGCATTCCAATTGCCCAAGGACCTGTCGTTATTCCATATTTAAACAGAGAAAAATATTAATTGAACAAAAATAATACAGAGTACAGAAATGAGTGGACATAACGAGAATTATTTAAGCTGTTGGATTGAAATAAACAATTGTCAACAACTTGAGAGTTTTAAATGTTTCATATATTATAAAACAAAAAGTAAATAATTAAATCAATGATTTAATAAAAAAAAAAACATTGTGAGGATGTTGGGAGGGATACGTCATTTGGCAATTTAAAAATAAACGTTGTTTGCTAATTAATGTTTTGGTACAAATCAGGGCGATGAGAAACGATAAATAAAGTAATGAAAAATAACGCGTTACGAATATTTACGAACAGTCACATTAAAAAAAAAATGTTTATGTCCATTATTGTAGATTCACTAAACAATTTTTCAATGTTCCAATATCCGAATTGATGTTAAACTTCTTAACGAAAAACAATTGGGGAATGAGCTGGATTTAAAATAAATAATAGATCATTACATTAGTACAGGTCCAATCGAAACAACAAAAACGTTTTTTTTTTCTCTTCATTGTAACTGAAATAACAGTTGATAATCACTGCCAAAGGCACCTGCGTGCAGAACGGAGTCAATGATATTCAGAAATTCAAGCCCAAGGGCTAGCATTTTGTGAGGGAGAATACTCTAAAATTAATTGTCACTGTGAAACCTTCAGACTTATTCAGCTTGTTGGAGTGGATATTAAATATAAATATAACTAATAGATAAGATCGAAGTAATCCTAAATTGAATTTAAATATATTTCGAAACATGTTTAATGTACAAAGATTCAATCATGGTACATTATCGATATTAATGAAACTTATGATTTTATGTATTTTTTAATGAATTATTAATTAATATTCGTAATTCATATTTTAGGGATTAGTTTTCACCAACCATAATGGTATTTTTTACTTAAAATTTTTCGATGATCATGCTTAACATCGGTTTATTCACCCAAATTGTCTAGGTGACTCGAGTAGTCATTATTATTCAGTTAATCGTTTAATGTATGGGGAGAGTGACTCGCTTTAACTAACAAAAACATAAATAAATACACGTTTTATGAAAATGAGATGGTAGGACCCTCGTACTCGATGGATTATCAATAAGACGATTAAAAAACAAATTGAAAGATTACGAAAGAATGAAGCATGATCGTTGGCCATACAATGGAGTATATGATATATATTTATGTTAAAATAAGTCTAGAATACTGGAATTTAATTATTCATTGGTAACAGGGAAAAATTTGTGGGTCAACACTTGAAAAATTTATGTCTATTAATTCGCCAATCTCTGGGGTATTTTTATATTATTTCATTATTATTTTCAGATAGACTTGTATTATTTTCAAGTGTAAACACAATATTTTCTCATTTCATTCTCAAATTTTGCAATATTTGGTGGCAATTCGATGATAATTACCCCGAGAGTATATCAGAGGTCGAGTTTAATTTTTCACAGACAAAAATTCTTAATTAAAACTGATACAACAAAAAAACAGATACCCAATCCCAAAAAGCCGGGATTAATCACGAAGAAAGAACAAAGTTGAGACATTAACGTAATTAAAACAAAATCATGAAAAAAAAAATCCACATTTTGTATCTGTACGTGTAGATACAATTGCAATAGGCAGGAATTAAAAAATTGAATTAAAATCGATAATTATAAGGTTTAAAGTGAAATATTAATATATAATGAATTTTAAACAAGATGATGAAAACAAAACAAATGTATTAAATATAAGTTCACTCATCGCTACGATATTACATTGTAAACTTATTATAGGTATATGATTTTTGAAATAAAAACATTTGTTTTCAATACAACGAAAATATCTTCAATTCATTGATCACTCACACGACTGACATTCCAAACGATTAGAATGCACGAGAGCCACTAACATTCGACACCACCCAAACAACCCCTCGCCCAATCAGAATCCTCACTCCAATCCCCATAAATATTTTTCAACAATAAAAAACCAATATTATCCACGAAGTTACTGTGATTTTCATTGCTTCCAGGTGGATCATCTACGAGGAATATCGGCGAATCGTGAGTATCGCTTCCACCGGAAATTTTTCCACATTCCAGATTAAAAAAAAATTCTGCAACAAAACCCACAGCTTGTACCCAACAATTAAAATGTCTGATTTAGCACACAATTATTTTCCTCAATTTTATTGCTAAATTAATCAAATAACAGTGTTTTATATATATTTGGTTTAATTACGCATTAACAGAAATACCCAAGGCACTATTAACGCGCAATGTTGAATAAGTTTTAGAGTTGAGGATGTGATGTGTTGTTTTGATAACTGAATTGACTAATTGAGAATATTAACCAATTCTTTGTGTGATGTGTGTAATGAATTCATGAAATTTTCAATACCAAAGAAAATTATTTTGATCAATTAGACACTCGCATTGCACCCTCAATAAATAGAGAAAAAAAAAATATAGACGTCGGTTTCCAGAGACATAGGAGATCCGGCAGCGAGCATTAGACTCCTCCGCTTCCACAAACCGAAAACAGGCGATGCCACTAGTGGGCAAAGGCAAGAAAGTATTTTCTATTTTTTTTTTGCTGGAGTAGAATCCGCTTGTAACACAAACCATAATATCTGCCTTCGCATAAAAATATTGCATTATCACATCTCTTCACTCCTTCACCATTTTCAGATGAAAATATGTGGGTCTCTGCTTTTGTATGTACCATTGTCATTATTCAGTTGACAATTTACCGTTAATACAGCACCAATAAATAATTCATTCACTTATCCTCGTGAACGTCGTCAATTAACTTGAGATACAATTGTTAGAGGGTCGGATTATGTGTATAGACGATCCTAATTACGCTTGGTACTGAGTAAACAGAATAATACAAACGTTGTTTCAATGCTAACTGTAGGGAAAATTTCATAATTACTCCCTGTCATTTAGCCGTGATGGCTTAATTGCAAATGGAAAGCCTGATTGTAGAGGAAAATTCAATTCACCGGGTAATACATCAACAAAGGAAATGTATCATTAGATTATGCGCCTCCGGAACTTTCGGCGTATTTGTTCTAATCAAAAATACTCAATCAGAATTAATAATTAACTCTCAATCAATCTCTGGGTTCGCGAACTGCAATTCTTATCAATACGAAAAAAATAAAATGTGAATCGAATAACGATCTCCAGACAAAACACCAGCAATTGACATTATCCAAACGTAATTATGTTGTGGTGATGATCCCCTCCGGGAATTTCAATCGAACGAGGAAAATATCATCCTAATTACTCCGGTATACATTAAACTCATAAAGTGTCATGTACTACCGCTCTCGGAATAAAAAATTCAATAAGTCAATTGATTTCATTCAAGCCGAGCGTAAAGGGAAAAAATGTGACAGGAAGAGGAAAAAATTGATTCTCGTGGTTGTAATTAGAGGCTTGCCAAGTGTCTAGTGTCGCGTTAATTAACCCCTTCGTTAATACAACACTGGGTTGAATATTGAGGGACTAGCCCCCAGTGTTGTCTCACGGATATTCGATATGCCAGACAGTTGTCTATCTTTCATCCCCCTTTTCCGTGTTTCCATTATTCATGAATGATGCGCTTGAGGCTCAGCAGAATTAAGCGAAATATGAAATTTCAGCAATGTTTAGGGACGATTATTAATTTACTTGTTGAGCCATCCAATAATGCAATTCATCATTCGTTATATTACTAACATCGACATCAATTAGAAGCGACACTGAGAGCGCTGGACGATATTCGAGGAGTGAGACTGATGGGGGATCTGGAAGACCTAAGAGACCCAGGATTATGCTGTCCCAATTGTTCAAGAGGAATAAGGATAAAGTCGCTGGCAGTGATACTGATACTATGAGAACTGTTGTCACTGTTGATGATGAAAAGGTAAAGGGCTTCATTCATTATTTCACCCGTTATTATCATTGGCTGTTTAATTTTCATTCTCGCTATTTTATCCTTACGTACTCCATTTCATTATAAAATCTTCTGGATTTTCTCCCCCCTTCATACTTTTTCTGAAATGACCACGCAAATTCTATTAAACATTGTCACATCTATGGATATCATCTGTTTGAAATTAATTGATTCATCATTCTATGCAATAATCTGCCTATTAACAGCGAGCAATAACTGGCAATTATTACTTGATCTATTTGATAAGGATTCAACCGTCTTTTGATTATTTGATTGAGTGGGGTTAATTTATTAGTATAGATTATTTGAATTCTCACGTGTACGTCAGTCGACAATTTTTCTATAATGTAATTTTTTTATTACCTTCTACACTGTTGAATATTGACCTCCGATCGTGCAATTTGTATTCCATGCATAATTAATTAGCCGTTGAATAAAAAAAATTGTTTCTTTGAGGGAATTCAATTTTTACATAAACTCGTTTTCTTATTAATTTTTCCTTTTTTCGTTGCATCATTTACTGAGACGATGGTTTACAATTACCATCAATTAATAAACCGGAGTGGATCCCAATGTAAAAGTGGGGAAAAAGAAAATATATAATATTGGAAAAACCGAGTATACGACACCCGTTTTTTCCCCAACCATTTTGTTGGAAAAATGATGCTGTTTAAATTACTATCTTGCAGTCTCACCATTTGCGTTAGTCGTATTAAATTCATAAATAAATTTGCAGACCCCAGAGTCAGGCGATGTGATGCAGAAGAACCAAACGGCTGAGGGTGGTTTAGTCTACGCTGAATTAGATTTGACACAACGAGAGGCAACACCACCTAGACGTGTCAGTGAAGATAAGACAGAATACGCAGAAATTCTGTACACAAAAACCGAAAAGAACAATGAGGAAGTAACTGATAAAAAATAAAATCTCCGCAATCGCTAGAGTAGCGATCGAATTCCAAAATTACTCACAAAATTTTCATTTTTCCAATCAAAAATGTCGAATGAGATGAAATTCAAATGATAATCACCACAAGACTAACATGTAGCAATACCTACATTAATAATGTCAATATGCAATGTTAATAATAATTAAGTGCTAAGCACTCATTTCAATACACCGACAAAAAAAAAATGTATACTAAAACCGTCGATTCGCGTAATCAAGCATTGAATTATGTACTTAATCTATTTACCCACAAAAACAAGTTTTATAATGATTTTTTGTACATTCTGTTGACAATGTGAGAGTGATAACAAGTGATTGATTAATAATTATTAATTAGTCATTGGGTTGAAGTGATATTTTCATGAAGTACAAAGTTGGTGGATAATCACTCGTGTCACTCTCAAATTGACACCCTTTAATCTACTTAATGTATCTTACATGTAATGATTCATTCCCATGAACAAATTTTATTCGTGTCTATAATCAATTCCTCGGTATGTTGTATTAATTATCCCGTAATTGATGTCATTAATTTTTAAATAATCGTAATTTTGTACATTGACCTCTTTGACATGGTACAACATGATAAAGAGCTTTATGATGTGAGGTGATGATTTTATCTGGACCTCGAATTTTTTCGGGCCACAGCTACCGTCCGATATGTAATAAGTTTATTCGTCAACATTTTTTGTATAACATTTTATTTTAAAATTCAATAAAGAATTATCTATTCGTAATTACTCCTCGTCATTCAATTTAATTGAATGGATTCTTCGATTTTTATCCGTCAGTCTCTTCAGCCTCTCCCTCATCATCTCCCTCACCTTCATCTTCCTCGTCCTCCCCATCCTCCCCATCCTCCCCATCCTCCCGATCGGTTTCACCACCCCCGGCCACCCCCTCACTGCCATCCGATTTATCCTCCCTCACCCTATGTTTCCAGGTCTTAAAGACGTCATCCGCCATTTCCTTGGTGCGCCTCTTGAATTCCTTCTTGCTTCTCTTCATGATAAATTTCCTCGGTGGCAGACAATCCAAGGGTTTAGTCAGCGGTGCCTCGGGCACGACCCTCTTCCTCGTCAGTCGCTTCATTGGGGACTCGACGTGCTTATCAGCGGTGAAATCCAGAATCCTGGGATATCGGTCGCAGTCTTCAAGGATTTTGGCAAAGGACTCCTCCGAGGACGACGATGACGCCAATTGTTTTGCAATCCTGGGGTCAACCAGTGGTGAACGACGAACTCTGGGTTTGGAAACTCCCCGATGCGTTCGCCATTTTGTGCTCACGAGGACATTTCGTGTCCTATCCCTCTCTAAACAGGGCATCGGAGAGGGCGCCACCGGGTGCTCCATCCTCTCACCATACTTCATCCCGATTTCAATATTCTTCCTGTAGGTTTCATAATCATCCTCGTCATTAGCAATCGTGGCACCACAGACTGGCAGTCTTGGGCTACGGGCGATCCCCGGACGAATGCCAACCGCGTCCATAACAATTCTCTTCCCCTCCACGTGTCTCTTCTCCTCGGAGGACCTGCAGACCTCGTGTTTGAACTCGAAGACGATTGGCGTGAGGGAAAACTCCAACCTCTGATTAGAGTTTATCATCTTCACTAGCGCATAAATTAGAGTATTGAAATTGTAGCATCTCAGAACATAAATGGCGCCGCGGTTCCTCAGGAACAACGGAGGACCGGTCCAGCAGGGATCGGCGACGTAAAACCCGTCCTCCGAGGAGTGTAATGCAAGCGTTATCTTCCCACACTTCAGGATAATATTCTTAGACTCCTTGAGGGCCCCTTTCAGGACACCTGCGAGGGGTTGTCTTCCGCCTCCCCCATACAGTGTTCCACAGACAGACGGAAGGTACTCGATCCTCCAGATGTGGGGGAAAACTTTAAAACAGGGCTGAAGATTGAATAAATTCGAGAACTTTGAACCCCTTTTCACAGAGTTCTTCAGACTCTCTGTATGATAACTATCCCCGCAGATGACGGATGAGTCCAAAATTCCGGTGGTCCACCTCGACGGGTGACACAGATACTGCATTGCCAGAACAGCCAAGCAAATGGCGGCCTGATTGCGGCCCGCGCGCTCCCCAAAATGGCTGTCGTAGGCCCCGAGAGTTCCCCAGATGGAGTAGATTAATTGTGGAACTTCGATCGTGTAGTTGTTCCAGGAACCCTTCCTCGGGGATCCCACACTCTCCTCTTCGTCCTCTCTAATCTTGCCCTTTCTCTTCTTTTTCTTCTTCTTCGGTACCTTCGGGGCATGATGGGAGCTCCAGTGGTAGTCCAGGTAAACCCACATCGGATCCTCCTGGAACGTCGGATATGACGCCACATTGATGGACTCCACGTGGAGTCGATGGATGAAGAAGCCAGTGGTCTCCACCGATCTATTAGACAATATCTGCTTGACCATCTGACAGATGTTAGTAAAAACACAAAGACAGGCGCTGCCATTCACGGATCTCCTCCCGTTTGAATTACAAGAGTAAGGATCCAAGTAGTAGTAGCAATCCGTCGACCTGGAGTACCAGAAGCCGTAGCAGCAGTTGGTGAAGTGCAGAATGCCGTCGTTGTGTCTCTTGAAGTGCCTCTTCATCTCTGTTCTCACGAGATCGCAGCAATTGCTCTGCCCTGTTTTAGGGTTCTCAGTGAAGGGCATCAAACCCGATGCCACATCCCTGAAATCAAAGATCCTGTTCATGATGGTGATGTTTCTCAGGATGTGTTCAGTGTGGTACACCGGGTTATTGAACTCCCGGTACAAGTTATCCGCGACTTGAAGAATTTTATCAATCATCGAGGCCATTGGGCTCTGCATCACATCTCTCTTCACCATGAGAACGACAACAGCTACGAAGTAGCAGCGCTTCAAGGACGGTTCCTTGATGGAGTCCCTGTGATCTATAGCCACAGTTCCCGGAATAAACAGCGGCCCTGGAGAAGGCACAGTCACCCTGAACATTTCTTCAATATCGTAGGGCTCGCCGTCGTATCGATAAATTTGGGGCAGCGAAGAAGTGATCGCGGGCTCATGGAGACCCCTCAGGTCATCGCAATCAGGATCCATTTTTCTCGCGTAGGAGATCGTAACGACACGCATCTTAAACTCCACCTCCTCAGGTTCATCGATCTCCATCACTAGGAGCTTGAGGAAGTCCTCGAATGAATTGGACGTGATGATCCTCAAGTTCTTCGTTCCGGTCACCCCCCACCAGCCGTACAAGCAATCTCTTCGCTTCATGACACCGATGTGCGCTCGTTCGCAGAGCAAAACAGCCCCGGAATATATCGGCGTATCAAATATTTTCTTCAGGGACATCGAGAGGTTCCACCCTTCGGTCGCGTACAACTTACCCACGTGCATCGGTGCCAACACAGAGATAAATCTATAATTCGCGATCTCAAATTCTGGGAGCAATCCATCAATCATACCGGACACTGTCGAATCTTCAGCTGCCAACAGACTGTCAAATGCCAGATCTTGACTGGCTTCGTAGATGCCTTTGATTGTTCTCGTTCCCCACTCCTTGGGATCGCGGATACAGGCCCACGCCATTGTGCAGAGATCGATCGGTTCGAGAATAATCGAGTGCTCTTTGAATTTACGGTCGAACGGTTTTCGACGAATTCGAGTGTTTGGTTCGATCGATCTTTTGAATGGAGGTAAATTAGGACGCGTTATATCATTGACAATGACAGGCACCTCGAGGGCGGCTGCTTGGAAATTATTCAGGGCTCTGAATGTTTGATGGGTTACGTCGAAAGGCATTGGCCTCCGGTGATCATTAAGCCAGCTCTTTAACTCGATTAATGAGACGCTCGGTTTTGGGGACACCGTCACCTCTGGCTCGTCCCTCTCCAGTGCACTAGACAGTTCCTCGGTCTTGCATTTTTTATGAGGAACTTTTTTCGGCTTCCTCTTCGGTTTTATCTCCTCCATGTGGGTTATGCAGAGTGTGTGAATTCTGTACGGCTCGTTTTTTGATATTCCGGAATTCTCTTCGATTTTTCTCGTCAAGTCTTCGATCGTCGAGAACTCCAGGAGGCAGCAGGTGCCCGTCTCCTGGCGTTTACCATCTTTATCGCAGGAGTGAGGATCGAAGAGGTAGAAATTCCCGTTTGAACACCAGAATCCGTAGGAACCGCTGCTGAAGACGAGAATTCCTGTGGCGTGACTCTGCAGGTACAACTGTAATCTCTTCGACAACTCGTCGCCCTCGAAGCTCTCCGGGTCTGCGTATGCCGTTTGCTTCAGGATTACGTTGAATTTTGTTCCCATGAATTCCAAGTTTCGGAAGATTCGGAAGAGTTTGTACCGCAGGTTTCCGGTTTTTGTGTGGATCTTCCTCGAGAACAGGAGGATCTCGTCCAGGAGAGTGCTGGGAATTTCGCTGACGTCGGTTTTTATTTTTCCGAGAATGCAGAGAATCGCTGCGAAGTAAGAAGCATTCAAGTGGTGATCAGGGATTTCCTGAAATTCTAGGCGGCTGTTTCCTCGGAGAATCGAGAGAGAATCGTTGACGTAGTGGAGACCGATTGTCTCGGGGACTTTTTCGAGGTCTTGAGGAACGTCACCATCGATCTCTTCAGGGTCTTCACTGGGAGGTATTTCCGAGCCATTTTCATCGGGATTTATAGTGTCTTCTCTTTCTTCTTCAAGACCTAATTCTAGGGGCTCCACTTCTTCAGATTCTTTAACTTTTTCTTCCTCTTCAGCCTATTAATAAATTAAAGAATAAAAACAGAATTGAATTAAATAACTCTATAGTCATAAACATTAATTCGAATTATGAATAATTATTAAAAATGGTGCACTCACTCGTTCATCGAACTTCAGCATTGGAAAAATCATATCGAAGAGAATATCCTCGGTATAACAAACAATTTTCTCAAGATTAAAATCTCTTCTCTCAACTTCCGATAATCGACACTGCATCTTCTCCCCGTGGCAGGGCTTCACTTTGAATTTCGGAGTAGGTGTCATTATCACCGGTCCAAGTGGAATAATTGATGGTTGAATTCTGACGCCCCCCAGTACTTGAGGCACTTCAGTCAAGTAGAAACTCTCCGAAGTTGTTGCTTTTAATTTTTTACTCCTGCAATCTCCATCCATTTTCCCATCCACTCGTTCATCGTGAATGAATTTTTCATTGATAGCCCTGAGTGGTGTGAAGCCAATGGGTGGAATTCGAGAGAAGAGATACTTCTTCGGTGGGAGTTTAATTAACTTTGAATTACTCTCGGCTGACGGGGATTCAATTACAGGGACATTGTCAGTGTCAACAGGTGGTAGGTCTGTCTTGACTGCTAATCTGGAGTCAATGGAAAAACAGGAGACGAGCGAGGGAATGGATTTTGTGGCTTTCTTGGCTGCCAGGAGCATTGCGAGGACCTTCTTCGGGGGCAGGACATACGGGGGTGGATGATTGTACTTCAAACGTTCGTACTCCAGGGCTTCCCTGGCATTCTCATCGATTTCCTCGTCCTCCAGCTTCACGTTTGTCGTTATGAGAAAAAAATTCAGCTGTTCTGGTGCATCTGGTCGGTCCTGTTCTGGAACTTCCAGGAGAGGGTCCACCAGGGGTGCCTCCTGAACAGGAATTCCCAGGGTTTCCCCAGCCTCTTCACCCTCTGCCTCAACCTCATTCTCCTCATCTTCATTTTCATTCTCTTCTTCCTTTTCTTCGTCTTCGTCTTCCTCTTCCTCTTCTTCTTCCTCAGCAATCTCCAACTCCTCATTTTCTTCACCACCTCTGATATCTTCCGTCGGCTCTGGCCTCAGGGCCGCCACATCTGCATCAGTCACCGGTAGGAATACGACCTGATACTTCTCCACGTCCTCAACAGGTGTTTCCACCTCAACCGGGGATTTATATTTATTCCCCGGTCCCACCGTCTCGATGTGAACAAAATGCAGGGAGAACTTGCGGTCGTTGAACTCGAGAATTCCGTGGAGCACATCGACAAGTTCATTGACAGAATCGGTGACGATGAGACTCCCAGGGTGTCCTCTCAGCCTCCAGCCCTCGTCGTCACTCCCGTAAGGATTGAAAACGAAATAATTTCCATTTGACTTCCACAAGGGATACATCAACCGCTTGTTCTCGAGTATCAGTTCATGGTACTTAATAAAATATCTGTCGAGAGCTTCACCGAGATTGACGATGGGGTCGGCGTCCCCTTGGGATATCGACATTCTGCTGGAGAACTTCACGTCGTATTCTCCGAACTTCATCCGAGGGGGCAGCATCGAAACGTCCACATGACTTGGTGCTCTGCCCAATTGTCTATCTCCATCCTCATCCTCAGCCTCTTCATTCTCCTCTTCCTCGTCCTCTTCGTCCTCTTCATCCTCTCCCTCATCCTCAACGTCTCCGGACTCTTCCGTCAGCCTCGGACTTCCCTTCTGGATCCACTTGATCAGATCCTCATGCGCTCTGTTGCCAGCTGCGATTAAATAATCCAGATCTGTACTCCTCCATTTACCTGAAGGCTTGACCTTCGCGAAGGAGATGACCGCCAGAGCGATGGACAAACACTGACGGCCCCGGGAATTTTCATCGAATTCCTCAGACAGACAGTTCTTCGATCCCTGAAGGATAATCCTCCGAGGATTCACGATCTTGTAGAATTTAATCGGCTGCAGGTCTGCGTGATCCGTTCCTAACACCGTCAATTCCTCCTCTGTCTTCATGAAGTCTCGAACATTGGTCATGGGCTGCGGGAATTGACTCTCGACGGTCTTCGTCTTCTCGTCGCCAATCCTGGGCCTGGGGATCGCATCAATTTTTCCCACACAGTGGTCAGACCCAGCCTGAGGTGGTGCCGGAGGAACAGGTCTTCGATTTGTCCTCTTCTCCCTGAAGACGACAGTCCCACCAGGTGCATCCACCGACGAGTGGGTCTTCACGTAAAGCACCTGAACCCCGTGAAGAAAGAACGGGTCCTTCTCGGTGTTTCCAGTGTTCTCCAGGATGACCTCCATGAGTTCATTGATGGAACTGTTCATGGTCAGTCCTGCAGCTGCACTCTGGTACCTGATCTGCTCGTCAGGGTCACTCGGGTCGACCCTGAAGCCCTCGGCGTCGCACCCGAAGGGGTCGAGAAAGTAAAACTTACCGCTGTCCTTCCACACCGCGTAAAATGTTCTCTTCACCTCGAGAATTCCCAACTCGTTGGCCTTGAAGAAATCACGGAATCCAGAGTCAATCGTACTCTTCCCCTTTTTCGCCTGACCAGGGACGACGTTTTCCCAGACTTTCACTTTCGCCCCGTAGACACCGAAGAAAAAATCCCCGAGAAGGTCCCCAATGCCGAGGGAGGCGTTGTCAGTGAATTTCTTATCGAGGACCCTGAAGAGATCCACCAAATAGATGTGGGACTGATTGATGATGAGATCCAACATCGGAGTTGTCCATTTGGCCGGGCTGATGAGCCTAGAGTAGACCAGAGCGGCTATCGCGATGATCAGGTGACTGCGACCCTGAAGATCCTGAGGAATACTCGGATGGTGCAGGTGAAATGAGCCCCTGACGAGGGCCCTAAATGTTCCCTGAATGATGTACCCACTCGGGCGTCTCTGGGGCGGCTCCTGTCCACCTCCTTCATCCTCATCTTCCGACAGCCTCACAATCCCCCTGACCCCGATCGGATACAGCACGAAATACTCGTTCTTCACGTTGCTCTTCTCAAGAATAATAAAAAACACTCCATTGAGATCATTAAGAGTTATCAATTTAGCAGAGCCATTGTCATCGGGTTTTAAATTTCTGTCCCGTGGTTGTCCATCGAAAATATTAAATCCCTTGCCCTCCCGCCAGATTGCGATGCTCAGACCTGGAGAGATCAGCACTGCTGCATCGTAACTCCTGAAGAAGAGCTCCAGGGCCTTCACCAGGTGCATTTCCGTGGGCTTGATCGAGCGGAAGGTCCCGGTGTAGGCGGCCTCGTCGATGTTGACGAGGGCTTTGTGGCTTCTCTGGATTATTAATGATTTTTTCAACTGGAGAACTGTCAGGTTCCGACGGTTGGGGGTCTTGATGTCGCGGTAGGAATCACAGAAATACGCATCGCCATCCTCAATTATCTGATCCATCAGGGATTCGGTCCACAGACGAGGCTTCCGAAGACCTGACGTCGCCAGTGCTGCGATCCCTATCGCACCGCCCTGGAGGCAGGACAATTGCAATTTCGATGTTATTGAGGATTGCAATACGCTTCAGCTGTCATGGATCGTGTAATTTTCATTGGATTACGTGAGATGGAAAGAAGAACTTGAAGATGTGGGTTATTTGTGATATTATCTGGGATTTCAAACTGATGATAGTGATTTATTTTTTAAAATCCCGTTCTCTCATCAACGGTTGGTTTCACATAAATTTGTTTGAGTGAAGATGATGATGAAAGCTAGGGAAAATGTGAAAACTCATTATCAAGGATTATCTAAAATCAACCGTTGGTCCAATGAAAAAAATCACTGCCATAAAATATAAACATGTGAAATTCGATTGGACATCTGGGTGTCCAACTCACTTGGAGGCCCCTGGAGAACGGCGAGAAGATCTTCATCTTCATGTGAGTAATTCCAGAGCGAACCCCATAATTTGTGGAATCGGGGAGAGTGATTTTTATTCTGGTGAGAGAATAGGTGTCAGTTGGCAATCCAAGGATGTCATTCAACCTGAGACGCTCGGCCTCGAGCTCCTCGTCGGCCTCATCCTCGCTGTTCACTGTCCCGTCACCAGGAATCTGACCAAAGGCCTCCACTTCCTCATCGGAAATAATTCTGTCACAATCCGCGAGTTCTCGCAGCCACTCCCGATGACCGAGGGCTCCCCTCCCGTCCTTAGGCTTCACCATCTTATCAGATCTCAGGATGGATCATCAGGAAGTCCGGATGACCTCGTGGGACACTTGAAGATTTTCTGATGGATTGGTTTCCGCGACAGTCATGAGGCTGTCCGCGCCATTTATTAATCTATATTTCACATTATCATTCATATAATTGCGTAAATAATTAATTATAATAAAGGATTATCTGAATTTGATTTTAATTCGATCTCCTATTTATTTATTTTGTTTATCTTTTTTTCTGGTAATTTATTCTAAAAATGAAACTTTTATCTCACAATTTTTTATGAAATTCATACAATTTTTCCTATCGGCTGGAGTAATTTAAAAAATAAATTACTCCCCGTGTACTGTCCCACAATAATTTCAATGTTATCCATATTATATTCCCCCTCAATGAAGCAATTTCATTACGCAGAGAGTAATGATGATATAATAATGTCCCCGGAAATTGCGAGATTTCCCGTATTGAACTGAAACAATTACAACTCACATTACCAAACCTGGTGCAGGTGAATTAATGAAGCGTGCCTCCAGCTAGTGAGTTTCGCGGTTTTAATTATATCACCGTTAATTTACGTCGTGCAAATAATTCCATGAATAGGATTTAAAAACAAATGATTGTGGTCTCCGAAATTGTTCGCACTTTATCATAAATCAAAAGTCCCAGTGAAATAAGAAATTCAGAATTAAAATCATCAGGCGAATGATTCAACGGAGCAATTATATGAATTATCAATTTTAAAAATCTGGAGTGAAATCACGTGACAAATTTCAATGAGAAAAATATGTAAATAATCTCTAGGTAAGACTCAATTGCTTTCCATAATAACCCTCAGGGTCAATCCATTAAAAAAATTATATTTGCAATTAAAATTGCAATACTTTTGTCAAATAAAGAAAAAATGGCAGTATCAAGGCAAAAATGTCTTACGGATTAATTTTCCCATCAATTTTTCTCCTCGTGCAGAAATCTGAATTAATTTCCCTACATTAAATAAACCGAATTATTTAATCGCGAATTATTCCCGAATTATTTAATTTCTTCTCTCGTATTTGCTGGTTAATAAATAAGTTATTTCCGGGTCGTGTAGATTTTTCGGGGAATAATTGATTTCGTGTGGGTAATTGATTCAAAACGAAATATTCAAATTCACCTCACGATAAACATGACAGTGAATTGAATGGGAGATTGGCTCATTCCGCGCGTTATACCAAGTACTCAGTAAAGCTGACAAAGCACTTGTGGGTTAAAGGATTATCTGAGGCACTTGGGGATATCTCTCGGATGTACATTGAGACTTCTGGGCTTTATCCAACCCAAGTCGTCCGAGATGAATCGTTCATTTGTGTAATCCAGTTTAATCACGAGACTCCGATCATTGAGGTGTTACGTTAAATAGTCCATCCACTCCAGAATATTTCACTAGATTTCATTAAAATCCAAGAATTGTCTCACTATTTCTCAGGAGTTCCATTTATTTTCAAAAATGTACAAGAGACCTGAGGAGTGCAAACAGCATTCAAAAAAATTAACCAAAACGAAGAAGAAGAGGAAGAGGACAGTCGATATCGAGGACGAATGCGATGACAGGGGGAGTGATTATCCCCAGGGAATTGTCAAAAAAAAATTGACACCGAGGAATCGATACGTATCAGCCATTGATAAGGGGATCGATAAAATAAAACCGTCCATCAATGTTAGGGATCAATACTCCAATTCCAGACATATTCAATGCCTCACCGAGAATTCACCCTTGCATCCAGGATTATTCTCTAATTTTCAAGGTAATTGCCACCGATAAAATTAATCCCTCAAGATTAATTCCGTCGCCTCCAGGAGTTAGGGAATTATTTTTATTTTCAGAAAAGAGTAAGACAGGGAAAAAACTCAAGGATAGAGGAGACTTATCCACTGATTCAGAATCTAGTTCACACTCCGAGGAGATATGCTCTTTTGATAGTGACATTGACCTCTCAGGTAATATTATTTTAAAATAACAACAATAAAAGTAAATTTTTCTACAATTCCGGGAAAATTTCACGAAACGAAATCGCTATTTCGAATTAATTATTCCATTACATTATTTTTCTATTTATTTATTTATATGTACAAGTAAATAAATATATATTCACATATTACATTATATTATATTCATTTTTATTCATGATATATTTAGTATAATGCGTATTAAATATGTTTTAATGAATTAAACAATTGAGTAT